GGTGCAGTTTTATCTTACGCAAAGGCCACAGTATGCACCACATTCTTCGATCAAAGCCTGCACTCCAAGCTTCGTTTGTGGCATTCCCCACAGTTTAATGTCCTCACAGTTCCTCTTCCTGTTTTTGCACACTTGCTCGGGCACTGCAGGAATTAACTCCATTTGAAAATAAAGAACAAAAATTTGACATTCTTCGTAGGCTGAAGTACCGCATGTAATTTTCTTTAACTAGAATGAGATGCAAACTGCTTTGCCATTTTTCATTGTTCTTATTATAATATTGATTATAATAAAATGCTTTCCTTCCAATAAAGCGTCTTGTGCTGTAGTAGCATAAACAATTATTACCTTTTTTGGTCAAATTTGTCCACTCAGTGCTAAAAGAACAAAGCTAAGGCGGCGAATGCGGTGAAAAGACCTACTTGAATTGCGTTAATGGATTATTCGGAATTTGCCACCTGTTTCACCGGATAATCAAACTAAGTTAGAAGACTGTGGAACTTCCTTCGTTTCCAAAAAAGGCTGATGAATCAACGACTTAATGCCTTTATGTACGCCAATGCTACTTGACACATTTCTCTGAGCTCGAAACCACATCACCGGAAATTTGCTGCGCGATTTTGGAAATCGGTGGGACAAAGGATAGCACTGAACAAACACCCAATTCGGTCTTGTTTTCCTGCGATTAGCTGCTGTGGATGATAGCAAAATGATGAAGCCAGAAAAAATAAGCAGTCCTAATCGACAGCTTTCAAGCTCACGCAAAATGAGTTTCAATTATCTGAACAAAGGCTCGCGTATTTGAACATGACCGGTTTCTTACATCACCGAAAAAGCATAAAAATAACTCACTAGTGTTTCCGCAGTCATTCTTCCTCAGTGGATAACGTTGACCTTTCGGAGGAGCTTGAGGCTGTTTACGTTGCTGTTCCATTGGAGGACTCACCATTCGAGGACGTTTTTGAGCCGCTACCTCAATCAAGCTAATTACCAAAACGAATATCAGTACTGGGAGAAATCGGAACTGCATATTTTTGTATTTCCTGAAACCGAATTCAGTCTTCCTTTTTTTAAGTCAGATTGCTTTTAGCCTTCAACGACCTTGCCTGCAACTGATTGCTGATGGTATTTCTCCTAGAAAATTTGATGATAGAGCGGACTTTGACTGCTATTAAATACAGCCCCCACTTTTCCAGATCTGTAATGCAGCACGCTTTAAGTCCAGTTGTAGATTATATACAAGAGTTTATATTTGCGTGTGTGTGTGAGAATCTAATTTGTCTCGATAGTACTACAAAAACAAAAATAGAGCTGATATATGAAAATGCCGTGTCTGGAGAGATACGAATTTGAAAGCACAGAATCAATGTTCATGCCATTCCTTATTTTGATGCGCGGGCTGGTTTCAAGATTTACAAATATAACCGTAACATACCAAATGTTAATCCAAATCAGACCTGTGACTAAACTGCAGTGAGTCCACGACGAGGTAAAAAAATTTCCGTATATTTTTTTCACGCTCACCAAGTATTGGCCTACAACAACTCGTAGCAAAACCGCACACCGAGCCTGCCTGCTAGTGGACAACACTTTATTTCAGCGGGTATTTTAGTGAATTTGACACTGAAGATGAAATTAATGGCGCATTTACATCGAACGAGCGCACTCTAGGTAAATCTGCAAAGATTGGGATCGAAGTGGCCTGGCATTACTATGTCCTGCGAGTAAGAGTACCTTGGTAACATCACTAACATGAAATCCCCACATCCACTGTCTGGTTGGTTTTGGCATTAGTTAATTAGTAAATACTGAATTGTTATTTATACTGCTTTTCACACAAAAACTAGTTCCGCCTCCACTGTAAAATCTTACATGGCTGCAAACTTCTTTAAAGCAGAGTTCTGATTACGCAGTAGAAATTAATTATCATAAATACGGATCTGAGGACAGAGCACATGAACAAGTCGCAATAGTCGGAATCCTCCTCCCTTATTGTGTTTGAGTTTGCAATTACCTCCTACATCACTTCAAGAACTGTTGGATGGAGGC